ATGAGTGTCTGGAGGCCAGGTGTGGGGAAGAGAGAGAAATGTGGAGGGCTGACGGATCAGAAGATTGATCTGAGTCTGGAAGGAGAGCTTGAGCATGAGCTAGGAGAATTTGAGACATAGGACAGTTTTGACAGAGAGAATAATGCGTTCAGAGATAGGAAAAGGCCTGAACAAGGAACCTCTACAGCTTTTGCCATTTCGGTGAGTGTCTAAATCGAGTGCCATCTTGTGGCCACTGGGATCCATTGTAATGAGGCGTTTGAGTTTTAATGTCTCCCTGGTGGCTGAGAAATTGGCCAGGAGACAGCCCAGAGGCGTAGAACAGCTCAGAGGTGTGGAGCGTGGAGTATAGTAGAAAATGGGATGGGATGTTTAGGTTCAATGTCTCCCTGGAGGCCAAGAAATTGGCCAGGAGACAGCCCAAGAGTGTAGAGCATGGAGGTTTGGATCGTGAGGATCCCGTGTAGAGGGTGAGAAAGGGCAGTCAGTCCTGGTAGAAGAAGCGTGCCAACAAAGAGCGTCCTCTCTGTTGTCCAGCTTTTCGAGAGAAAAAAAGCCACCAACCAGCTAGTGAAGCGTCCTTCAATAGCTGGGGGATATGAGAAGAGTTCCTTTGGCCAGGCGCCTGGGCTTCATAGAGACCTGAGTCGTAGAGAGAGAGTAGTTGGGGGAACTGTAGAAGTAGGCAGGACAGACCCACGGACTCGCCCTGAATTGAGGCCGGTGCTGGATGTGTTGGTCTGAAAGGCAAAAGGAGAGAGAGTCCCGAGTGTACCCAGTTTCGGCCGGTTCAGGACGGGTGGCCAAGGGCCAGTCTCCCCAAGAGAGAGGGGACTGTCCACAACGTCAGCCAAAACCCTTCCCGGGTTTCGGCACCATAATGAAAGAAAGTGAGCCGAGATGCCGGGTACTGTTCAAGTTTTATTAAAGGAAGAAATCTGTTGGGCTGTGCTCGAAATAGCAAGCAGCCCAGGGCTGCCCTAAAAAAGGGGACAGCACCAGGTCGTGGGGGTGGTAGAGCTTATATAGTGCGCCAAGGGCTGGCTGATACCATCAAGGAGGGTCATTATGCTAACGTGGATCATGGTGGAGAACTGCGTCCTTGTGGAAGCAAAAGGGGTTTCTGTTTAAGTCAGGAGGCTTTTCGTAAAGGGAAGGGGGGAGGGAAGGAGGTGGATGGCGCCACTTTGTACTTGGGCTTGTCTACAGTGGCACTGGTTCTATGGGATGAAGGGAGCAGGCAGGCCCAGGGTCCCTGGAGGGGGTGGGCGAGTTGGCTCATTTAGCGGCGTGTCCAGCTCACTGTATTTGAGCTCCTGGTGGGCAACAACTCTGTCATGTTGAGTCCCCAGTCACCCTGGACTAATGTGGATACCTGTAGTGTAGTATGGATTGAAAGAACGAAGGAAACAAGGCCAAGGTGGGGTGGGGTACAGACAGCAAAAGTGGGGCTTCACGCCTGCACATCTTTGTGAGGCTCTCATCTTTTACTGTCAAGCTTGACTTCACAGCTTCCTTTAAATGCAAATATTATTTTTAAGGAGCCTCCTGCCCAGGGAAATCTTGGTCTGCTTAACAGCTCTCGGTGGGAATGTACAACTTTAAAGCGTTTGAAAAGAAGAATCCACTTCTGAGAGATTTGCATTTTCAGAAAGCTTTCAATAGAAGGCCCAGGATGGTAAGTAAGGCCTTTCTTTGTCTGCTCTCCCTGTGAATAGCACAGGAGGGAGAGAAAGGAGGCACTTTACATTCCCAGCAGCTGCAGGCGGAGGAGGTGTAAGCTGAGTTTGCCAAGAGCCTGGGTGCATTCTGGGATGTGTGTTGAGTCACTTCTCCCCTGGAGGTTTCCAGGGAGCTGGTTTGCATTTGGTAAAGCATGTGGCCTGATTCCCAGCTGCAAGGGTCTCTGTTGCAGGCTCTGCAGCCTCCTCTTGCCTCAAGGGCATGGCCTTGTGGGGGGGGGGGGGGCAGCCCACGGGGGGCATTGGTGGGTGGAGTCTGGCTGTTTGGTTTTTATGTGGGGCTCAGCCCCACACTCAGGTGGGCTCCCTTTCCATCCCTTCTCATCTCAATTGGAACTCACCTGTGTGGTTTGCTAATGCTCCCTTTGGCCCCATCCCTAGATCACTTGCTCTGAAGCAGCCAAGGTAACGCCTGACCCACCAAGAGTTCACCAAAGGCTTTGCCTCAGTACAGGAACCCACTATGGGTCCTTGGTCACCCCAGGGAGCAATGCCTGCAGATTATGGTGAGAAAGGCAGAGGTGTTTAGCCGATACCCCTCCCCCACTCCGACCGCCTCCACACACATTGGTTCTTTCCCTGTGGCCTGTAGTCAGCCTGTTGGGGAGCCCCAGGACTCCACGAGGTTGCTGTCCCAATTCTTGCTGCAGGTCCAGTGTGTGCACCTGGATCACAGATCTGAAGGGCCCAGTTGTGCAGCTTCAGCCCTCCAGGATGCCCCTCCAAGCTACCGACATACATGGGATTTCATTGCAGGGGAGTTTATTCTAAGATCAGCCTATATTCTAGACCAAGAAATCACCCGTGATTTTATGTTTGATATGAACTAACCAGACAAAGTGTGATGGTTAATTCTAGGAGTCAACTTATAATAAAATGAACAGCAAATAAGCTAAAATAAAATGCCAGGAGAATTTTTAAAAATGCTTTCATATGTAGCCTCCTTCCCCTAGAAAAGTGTTACACTAAAGCCCCCTTCCTTCCCTCCCTCCCTCTCTTGCTTCTATTATTGACCTCTTTCTGTATGCCACGTACTATTCTAGGAGCTGGTGATGCATCAGTGAACAACAAAATAAAGAGATCCCTGTCCCATAGAGCTTACAGCCCAGTGACAGAGACCGGCAATAATCACCGTGAGTAATCTCAATCTTACAGTATATTAGAAGTACCAAGTCCTATGGGGGATAAAAGTGAGTGAGGGTTTGCAATTTTAAGCAGAGTGGTCAGGGTGGCCTTCTTTGAACAAGTGACATGTGAGCAGAGTTGAAGTCATGGGCTATCAGAGGAAGAGTGTGCCCGGCCCAGGGAACAGCTGGCACAAGGGCCTAGTGTGGGAGGGTGCCTGACATGGGTGACAAATAGCAAGGAGGTCTCCATAGCTGGAGCAGTGTCAGTGGGGAGGTAACAGGAGATATGGTCCAAAGAGAAGGGGGCCCTGTCAGGATGGTGGCTTTTGCTATGAGTAAGATGGGGAACCACTGGAGGATTTTAACACCTCTTTCTTATGGAAAATTCCAGGAATATACAAAAGTCGTGTAGGGGAGTGTCTTAGTCTGTTTAGGCTGCTATAACAAATTCCATAAGCTGGGTAGCTTATAAAGAACTGAAATTGATTGCTTACAGTTCTGGAAGTTGGGAGTCCAAGATCAAGGTGCCAGGAAATCTGTGTCTGGTGAGGGTCCTCTTCCTCATAGATAGGGCCTTTTCACCATGTTTGCATGGTAGAAGGGACGAACAAGCTCTCTGGGGCCTCATTTATGAGGACACTGAAGCCATACAAAGCTAGATTAATCTAGTTCTATTTTCCTATTTCATGTTGTTTTACAAGTTGTCTTGTAGGATGTAAGCTGAGCATGGGCAAAAGAGAAGGACCTTGCCCTCCAGATGACCTCGAGCACCACAGGAACCAAAGATCTCCCATCTGCAGAGCTAAAAAACTGGAAATTGAACCAACAGAGTCCTTCATGAAGTAAGGGGTCTTTCAACAAGGAAGATCCAGCATCCAGCCCTTAAATCAGGGAGACGGATTTGAGAGTGCCTTGCCTACTGTCTCCTTGCTGGTTGACCTTACAATAAACCCTTTTCTTTTCTCAAAAACTGATGCCATAGTATTGGATTCTGTGTGCATCAAGCATTGAGCCCTGGCTTGGTAATTGCACTAATCTCATTCATGCCGGCTCCACCCTCATGACCTAACCACCTCCCAAAGGCCCCACCTTCTAATACTATCATATTGGGGATTGGGTTATATTTCAATATATGAATTTTGGGAGGATACAACATTTAGACCATAGTAGGGAGGAAAAAAAAATCTTTTTTTTTTTTTCTATCCCATCTTAGGTTCCTTGGCTGTGCCCTGCAAATGAGACTGACAAAAGACAGATTAACAAGAAAAAAACAGAAGTTTGTTAATGTGTGCATTGTATATACACGTGGGAGCACTCAGTGACGAGTTTCTTAAAGGAGTGGTTTAGAATTTAGGCTTCTATAGCATCTTCACAAAGAACATAATTTTGTAGAGAGGTGACATGGCAAGGGAAAAGGACTGAGCTTCTGTGAGAACCAGCCAATTGTGGGAAGGCAAATATATGGGAACACTAATGGTAAATAAGGGGAGTTAGTAAAGTCTGTTTGGGTAGACTCTTGGTGCCATCTCAACTGCAGTGAGAAATCTGCTCTCCCTCTCTTGGTATGAGAAGACTGGGTGGGTTTGCAGATAGCTTCACAAGAGGAATTTGTGTTCTATTTTCAGGTAGGTAGGGGGAGGGCAGAGAGCTCATCCTGTATCTGCTTTTTCTCCATTGCCTTTACCTTAAAATAATTCTTGTGCCAAGGTGGCATATTTTGGGGTGACATACTCTGAGCTCCTTCAGTAGAGAAGAGAGGATGATGAGCCCAGCATGCATTAATCACCCAGCTTCCAAAAGATCAACTGTTGGCCAATTTGTCTCATCTGTATTTTCATCTCCCACCTCCTGACATTGTATCATTTCACCCACACATATTGCCATATGGATCTTTAAATGATAAGGACTTCTTTTAAGCCTAATCACAAAGTCATTTTCACACCTAAAAATGAACAACTCCTTAATATAATAAAATATCCAGTCATTATGTCATTAGAGGGTTTTTATTTTTTTGGTAGAGGAGTAACATGCCTGATTTACTTTTTAACATGGTCAGACTATGTAGAGCACCCGGAACACTCCCACTCTGGTGTTGGAGGGTCAGATGGTACAACCACTTTGGAAAACAGCATGCCACTTTCTTATCAAGTTAAACAAGTTAAACATATGCCTATCCTATAATTCACCAATTCCATTCCTAGGTATTTAACCAAAAGAAAGAAAAACTTCAGCCCACAAAAAGAATTATATGAACGTTTTTGTAGCAGCTTTATTTAAAATCAAAAATTGGAAACAGAACATCATCAAGATGGTGGAATAGACATTCCCCATCATCACTTTCCCAATTACTGACCAATTTACAACTATTAAAAAGCAAAGACTTCCAACCTGGGACAACTGGAGCTCAGGGGGAGAGGAGGAGAGACTCGCGAAGTTTGTGAAGGTGGGAGAAGGCTTGAGAGAGAGAAGGGACCACTCTGACTGGTTCAAGTCCCAGTTGCTTAAGGGCTGGCTCAGTGAATGGGAAGAACATGAGACCGCTGACAGGATTCCCGTGGACCCACATAGGAGCCAGGGGCAGTTGACTGAAGAAAGGAACCACCCAGAGGCCAGTGAGCTGTTGTAGGGGGCCTGTGCATGGCTCACCCCACAGAAAGTGTTTGAGTGCAGGAGGGAGGCTGGCCTGCTGGGATAACATTGCAGTGCCATGTAGGCAGCTGATCTGCCTTCTGATAGGCACAGGCCCACTCAATGGAGACTGGTCAAGGTGATAGAAATGCAGGGGGTACAGTTTGTTGGAAAGACTCAATCCCAGGCCAGAATTTCCACACAGCCCAGGTGTATCTGACCGCACAAGACTTGGAAGTGATTAAAAGGCCAAAATTAAAATTTGATCCAGGCAAAAAGCCTTCCCCAGAGAAAGACAGCAATTTAGCTCAACCACAGAGCTCAAGTGTTGGTCCCAACAAGAAGTTCCCTCAATTTTGGAATTAACCAAAGGACAACAAATTAGTTCCAGTGCAGAGTTCAAGTGGTGGTGGTAATTTAAAATCCAACATAGGACTGAAAAAAAAAAAATCAATCCACAGACCAGAGACAAAGCTCTGCTAGTAACCAGTAAAGGTCTAACACCACCAAAGAACACCTGCAAAATCTAGAAGAGGTAGTTGTCTCCTCAAATGCCAAGGTATCAACCTAAAGACACAAAGATTGAGAAAGAACAGAAAATATAATACCAACGAGCAAAACAAAGCACTAGTAATGGACCCAGAGGAACAGTGGATTTACGAAATGTCTGACAAGAATTCAGAATAACCCTCTGAAGGATGTTCAGGAAGTCACAAAAAAATAACAAAAAAAGCACTAGTAATGGACCCAGAGGAACAGTGGATTTACAAAATGTCTGACAAGAATTCAGAATAACCCTCTGAAGGATGTTCAGGAAGTCACAAAAAAATACAGATAGAAAATCAAATGATATCTGGAAAAGAATACAGGAACACAATGAGAAACTTGACAAAGAAATTGAATCAATTTTAAAGAACAAATAGAAATTCTAGAAATAAAGAATACCTTATTTGAACTGAAAGACTCAGTAGAAAGCTCCAACAGCAGACTTAATCAAACCAAGGAAAGAATCAGTGAGCTCAAAAATAGAACATCTGAAGTTATCAAACCAGAGGAGCAAAAAAAGAAAAAAAAAAAAAAAAAAAAAAAGAATAAGAAAAAATGGAACAGAAATACAGCAAATATGGGACTCCTTCAAGTAAAATAACCTCTACATAATTGGCATACCTAAAGGAGAGGAAAAAGAAAGAAATGTAGAAAGCATATTCAAGAAAATAATGGCTAAAAATTTCCCAAGTTTGGAGAAAGAACACAGCATCTGGGTATAGGAAGCTCAGAGATTTTCAGTCAAATTCAATTCAGGGAGAAATACCCCAAGGCACATTATCAAAAATCAAAGATCAAGAAAGAATACTGAAAGCAACAAGAGAAAAGAAACATATAACATTCAGTGGAACCCCAATATGTCTCTCAGTGGGTTTCTCAGTAGAAGTCCTGCAGGCCAGAAGAGAATGGGTTGATATATTCAGGGTGCTGAAGGAAAAAGACTGTCAGCCAAGAATTCTGTATCAAGCAAAACTAACCTTTGCATATGAAGGAGAAATAAAGTCTTTCCTAGACAAAAAAAGCTAAGGGAATTTATCAACACTAGAACTGCCCTACAAGAAATGCTAAAGGGATTCTTAAATCTGAAAGAAGATGATGCTAAGGAGCAGTAAGAAAACATTTGAAGGTACATACTCTTTAGTAAAGTAAGTTCACAGACAACCTCAGAATACTCTAACATTGTAAGTGTGGTTAAAAAACCACTTACATCCTTAGTATGAAGACTAAAGGACACACCTAACAAGACAGTAACATATACAACAACCATATAAGAGACAGGCAATATTAAAAGATGTAACTTGAAACAACAAATTGCTTTTAGCCTAAAATAGTCTGTTATAAGTATAACATGTTCTTTGTAAGCCTCATGTCAACCATAACACAAAAACTTATGAGATATAGCGAGAAATCAAAATACACTGCTAGAGAAAACCACTCTATCACAAAGGAAGACAGTAAGATTGGAAAAAAGAAAAACAGGATCAACACATAAGCCAGAAAAAAGTAACAAAATGGCAGTAATGAGCCCCTATATATTAATAACTTTAAATGTAAACAGATTAAGTGTCCCAATTAAAAGACACAGAGTGTGGGCCGGCCCGTGACTCACTCGGGAGAGTGTGGTGCTGATAACACCAAGGCCCCGGGTTC